ATATACGTGTGCTGACATATATAAAAGCGAAGGATGAAAAAGAGGAAAGAATAGATACATAGATTCCAGGGTTTCCTGGGTGGCCGCAGTCATATTTTTACATTGGGATATTTCCATTTTCGTTGAGCATGGAAGAAGATCTCTCTTGAGAAATCTTCTCAAGGAAGATTTAAAGCGTATCTTTCGATAATATACTTTCGTAATAAAACGAGAAATATCTTGTATTTTTTTATCTCTTTTGCTTTTTTTTTTAGCCATATTATAGGAGTAATAAGAGATAAGAGAGATAATTATGCGCACACTTTGAACACACGCATTCTACATATACATACGTAATGATACGGCATTCTGTACAAATATGCGTACTACGGCATTAATGGAATGCAATGGAATTGGCGTGTGTATATCTGGAGTTACCGCATATTACATATTACATGATAATAAATAGATATAGAAAAAAAGGTGTACGCATTGCAATTCTCGCGAGATCCGAAGTGGTAGAGCTACAAGGAGACGGACACCGTCAATTCTCTGATTTATATTCATGCTATGCAGGAATTCTCGGCGATGCCTCTAATAATCGTCAGTGATCTATCGCGAATTAGATCGTAATTTTTCAGGAATGTTTATATTCATATGTAATTAATATGTAATTAATATATGTATGCATTTGTTATACACCGATGAAAAGCCTTATCTTATCTTTGCTGATTAGCATAAATTAGTGTTAAAAAATGTAATGACATACAATTGATTATGTCATACTCATTAATTATTCAACTTTTTTCTGTACATAATATTTAACAGAATAAAAAATATGTGTCCAATTAAATTCCATATAATTTAATAGAAATTATATATGTATAATATTAAATATGTATTGTGTTATTTTTATATTTAATTGTAAATATAATTTATGTAATTTAATAATTAAAGCATAATACAAAGTAATAATCAAAAGTATAATACATCTAATACGTATAAACACGCATTAAATATGCGTATGTGTATATAATATACGCACATTTTTGAAGTTAAAATAATATCGATCAAACGTCTTATCTTGTCTTGCTGACTAGCAAAAAAATAATGTTAAAAAAATAATGGCATGCGATTGATTATATCACTCGTTAATTTTTCTACTTTTTTTCTGTAATATCTATTATTAGAACAAAATGTATCCAACTAAATTTAAAATAAGTTGCAATTACGTTTAATTATCATATTAAATTCAAACTAAATATTTTTAATGCGCGAAAAAATTACTGTGGTACGATAACGATGTTTACGCCTTATAAATATTGCGAATGACGTAATTGTTATGTATAAATCTCTTGAAACTATCTGAATAAAAAGTACGAAAAAAATCTCTTGCGGTCTAATTTAATTCTGAACTATAATACGACCTCGAATTATAGCATACGTTATATTTTCGAGCGCGCTGCAAGTTCGCACATATAATATAATAATAAAGTGTAAAAATTACAGATTCCTATTCTAAATCTTAACGACAGTTGATATCGTTATAAATTAAAAAATAATATGATAAAAAATTATTCCCACGAAATATTTATATGAGTTACTATTTGAAATGTTTCAATAAATAAATATTTCAGAAATAAATATTTTGTAAACGTTTTAAAATATTATATTAAAATATTTCACAAAGATGTAGATACTTTAGAAATATTGTAAAAAAATATATGTATTGTAAGAAATAGCTTGTTTCAAAAACTCTAAAAAGATATAAATATATAAAAAATAAAAAATATATGTATATACGTAAAAAATAAAATATAAAATATAAATATATTTTAGGAAGATTTCATGAAAAGTTTTTTTGAAATAAATATTTTAAATCTTATGTGCAATGAAACATTTGGAAATATTTCATGCTGTATGGGATAACCTCAATATAATGATTGATTGTCGTAAAAAATTACAGAATAGGAACCTGTAAGAACTCAGCGTACTCTAACCTAACCTAACCTAACTTTACTCCAACACAGTTCAATCTATAGTCGCTATGTGACTTGCAGCCTGAATTCACGTCAATCACGTTGTGCGGCGCGATGACAGGCGCCTTATCAAGAACACCGGCGACCGACACCCTCAAAACGTTTCATTTCATCGTCCTCCACATGACACTTACCTCTGTTATCGGTCCCCGATCATGAATGCGGGATACGATGAGGATCTGACAGAAAATCAGTTCCTGCGGGAACTCCGGGACGAACATGAAGCAACGTTTCAGCGAGCTGTTCAGGAAGGTTGGATCATCTGCGTTCCGCGAAGCGGCAGCTTCATCAGCCGTAGATTAGAAGAGGACGAGGTCAATGCTCATATCCTGGTTCCTGGAAAGGATCTTTCTGTCGCCGGTTTCAGCAGTCTGAGCGGTAGGGAGGTCTTGGTCGAGGATCGAATCCTGTATATCAAGCACGATGACGCAGAGCAGTATTCCTCGCGTCTGCTCTTCGAGGAGATCTTCTACAGCGATGATTCTCGTAAATATTGTGTATGGTAAGCTGACACATAAATGTCACAATTCCGGATGTTGGCTTGACGTTATTTCTGTTTTATAGGTGCACTGAACGGCCTCTGGAGGCCAGCATGTATGTTTCGGATAATTATGTGAGTGTAATTACGAATCTCCAGGAAGCCGTAAATTTTCTTCAGGTGGAACTGCTCGACAGACAGCTGCGTGACGACCTCGAGACCAAGATCAAAGACTTCTTTTATGTTAATAAGAATCTGGAGCGCAAATCGATACAAACACAAAGAAATCTGGTACATGAACTGTATGCAGATTGTTTTGAAATGCTGCTGGATAATGCGATGTTGAGAAAGAAGACTTCAGGTAAAAAGCAATATCATTGGAACATCAGAGTGTCACTCGAAACTTACATTCTGTATGCTTTGAGAGATGTACTGCTAAAATCATTGTCCGCCGGTACCACTGTAGAAGACGCGAATTTAAACAAGATTATTAGGAATTTAGATGGGATCCAATTGAATGATCTCCGAGTACGCTCAGACCTGCAGTCTCGTGTTCATGGAGGAAAGATGGAATTATCACGATTGGACTCTTTCGTAACTGTATTGGGTAAGATCGAGTGTCTCAGAAGAACCGTAAATTATGTATCGCGCGGAACGTTGTCGTCCGTCACGTCAGATGATCTCCTGCCGGTGCTTGTGTACTTCATCGTCAATGCTGGCCTGTCGAACTGGATGGCGCAATTATACTTCATGAGACAATTTCGTCTCTCCACAAGCAGTGCTTACGAGATGGACGAGGCTGGCTTTTTGATAACTTCGCTAGAAGCCGCGATCACGCACATCAAATCTGGAGTAATCTATAGCAATGACAAATACAGTACATTAATGAGTCAGTCGGAACGTTCATCTATTGGTTATTTATTTGCATGCATCAAGAATGGCAATCTCTCTGAGGTGAAAAGAAATTTGACTTACAATGGCTCCAACGATGTCACGCTCTGTCATCCTTTATGCACCTGCGCGTCCTGTGAGCGAAACTGGACGAAGCAGCGAGACCTAAACGCGTGTCCCAAGGACGATAAGGGTCTGACACCGTTGCATGTTGCTGTGTTGCACGATCAGATTGTAATTGTGGACTTTCTTCTAAACCGCGACACAGATATAAACGTTGTCGACTCGGACGGCCTGACGGCTCTTCATTATACCTGCATCAAAGGCCACCAGAACATTCTGCTGCTAATGCTGCACGCGAACGCGGATCCTGCAGTAACGGACTCTCGGGGAAACACTCCGTTACATCTGGCGGTAGATCGTGGTCATGAGAACTGCGTGAAGGCGTTGCTGTATCTGACGGAGCACATGAAGATGCCGGTCAACGCGAACATTGCAAACGACAACGGCGATACGCCTTTACATCTTGCAGCCCGGTGGGGCTACTACGCGATCGTCGACATCCTCCTGGAATACGGTGCCAACTGTAGAATGATCAACAAGAAGGGTCAAACACCCTTGATGGTGACGTACAGTGAAACCATCGCAGAGTTGCTCAGATGTAACGCGGCATCAAGCAGCATTTGTAACAATGTTGCCTCCTTATCCTCACGTCCTCTTGTTCAGCCTTGTCAGTCGGTGCCTTTTCAGCAGCAGCGTCGTCGGGTCACGTTGGAGAATAAGAGTCCATCGCATCCTAAGAGTTATGCCAACGCGATGCAACATCGTATGATGGACAAATTGCTCGCTGCTATAGTCGACGGTGATATATGCCTGGCATGTTATTACTTGGGACTGGAGATTTATCGCGAGCGGCCGTCAGGCGTTCGCACGACTCTGTGCCATCATCCGCTCTGCGATTGCGAACGATGTTCGGCACTCGGCGAAGGTAAATTGGAACGTAAGCAGAGACAACGAACGCTGGCGATCAACACCTGCAATGGTCTAGGCGAGACAGCGTTACATGTGGCGAGTGCGACCGGTCGCACCAAGATGGTACAGCTGCTGTTAGACGCCGGTGCGAATGTAAATGTAATAACCAAATCCGAGGGTCGTACTCCGTTACATCTGGCATGCCTCAACGATCGCGTCGACGCGGCGAAGCTGCTGTTGAATTGCGCAACCTGCGACGTAGACGCCAAGGATTGCAAGGGCGATACGCCATTGCATCTGGCGACCATGGCTGGCAACGTCAAATCCGTCAGCTTGCTGATCAGATATGGTGCGTGCACCAATATGCGCAATCTGCAGAACAAAACTCCGCTGCGACAGGCGGAAGAGGTGCTATCCCTCGCTTTTTCCGCGAATCGTACCAATATACTGAAGGTTCTAAAACAAAATTCGACACAGTCAGCCGACGATTGATTAGCACGTTCAACTTTCTTGTGTCTTAAGCTATTCCGTCTTTTCTACGTCTTTTCTATTTACCTCATAGATTAGTCATAAGATAGATTTGCTAGAAGTAGTTTTTAACATTAGAAGCATCAAGCACTTATTGACCGTTTCCATTTTTTAGATTAATATTATATTTCTTGAATAAAAAATAGGATTCCGAAATTTTTTGACTTTTCAGTAATTATGTTCTTTATACTGATAAAATGATTTTTTATCACTTTCTTAATTTTCATAATTTATTTACTTGATGCTTTTAAAGAGCAAAAAATGTTGATATTTCTAGTATTAATATATACATAATATTTCTTCAGATATCTCATTGCAACAGACAGAAAGAAATGTCTGTTCATGCTTTATACTCCAATATATGAAGACTATACCACAAGACAAATTACGATATAAAAGGAAGATGATTAATTTTTATTTTATATTCTATTTTTTTAAAAACGTATACCTTGTGAATGTGATTAGCAGCTATCTTCTAGCATAATTCTAATTTGGACTTCGTCTGAGCATAATTTAACTCTGGGTATCAATCATGAAACTTTATCCTTAGGATGAAAAGTGAAAATGAAAATTTTTACCATTGAAATTAATGGAGAAATTTTTCACTTTTCACTTTCTATCCTAGGGATAAAGTTTCATGATTGATACCCTGGTCTCTAATAAGCATATATTATATTTCACATCTCACACATATTAATTGTGATTCTAAAATTAAATCTCATGCGCGCTTTATTTTTTCCGAGCTAAACGAGATTTCTTCTTTAGAATCACTGTGTAAATTGCACAAATTATCATACCATACCGAGCAATTAGTGAGATTAATAGATATATAAATGAGACAAACAATATATGTATATACAAGTCACAAATAGTTTCATATATTTTATAAATATATTGCCCAAAGTCATAAAAATATATATTTAAAGCAATAAGACTTATAAATCTTTTGTTTTGTATGAAATAAAATATATAGATGTAATATATTCTTATGATTTATTTATACAATTTGTAGTTACAATTTGTTTTATTATCTTGCGAAGGAAAACGAAAAAAATGTACGAATAAATAGAAAATTCTATATATTTACACATATATATTTTTTATGTGTATGTATGAGATATAAATATATAAATGTAAGAGAGAAAAAAAATTTGTATTTTTTTTAGTACAGAATGTATAAATACTATTATATATCAGATTACCAATAATTCTCTTCAAATTAATTCAAACACTAGTGATACTGCCCACCATAATGTGGACTTTCCAACAAGCGACACGAAGCGACACATAATCATGTCATCTTTGTCTAACATTGGCAAACAATAAGGATGTAATGATCCATTGCGTCGTTTGTTGGAAGGCACACGATATTATTCCTAGTGGACGGTAGAAAATAATTGTTGCGTGTGTGACATTGAATTAACAGCATCATAATTTTTCATGAATTGTGATTGTTTGACGTTTCCTAGCAAAAAATTACGACAATAAAAAAAGAAATGATTTTTCAATGATACTTACATCATTTCTGTCAAGTAACGTAAGTTCTAACTTAACCTCCGACTTCTGAGCATGTCAGTTGATGTCAGCTGTTGAAAGGGAATCTAAGTGAAATTTAATTTTTCATTGCAATTTTGCGAATGCAAAGAATATTTGACAGACGATTTTGCAATAGACTAACAGGAAAAGTCGCGAATTGTTATTTTAACAAAACAAGACGAATCAATCGCTAAGTTTATTTACATCGACTTCGATTTATTGGTTATTTCGTCGCTATTTTTGATTCGTGAACAATACCGGTGTCTGCTTGTTACCGTAAATGTTGCATCACTTTGGTCAAAAATCATTCTAGAAATTGTCTTAGTTCACGAATTGACATTCCTATTCAATATTCATCACATTCTAAAATTTGTTATTAATATTTTTTTTTTCGTGCAATACAGATTTGCCCTTTTCTTGAATTGTGTATTTGTAAAATGGAATGTCTATTGTAATCAAGTTTTACATATAATTTAAATTTATTCACGATTATTCAAGAGAGAAGATCGGTAAGTATTATTACCTCTAAAAAACATTTTTAGAATATAATTATTTATAGAATATAATTACCATGTTGCTTTTAACATGAGCTTTATAATCCTAAATTATACAAATGACAAGTCTGTTATTATTTTCAGGTGCAATTTTATTTCCCTGCCATTTCAAACGTAAAATCGTCGTACAATGCTGAGACTATTAAAGTTATCGAGAAATTCGTTTTTGAGAGGCGCAGCTTCACAACGACATATTATATATCGTACCTTCAAATCATCGATAAGTGCTACATCGAATACATTGCATTCGAGAAAGGAGATAGTGCAAGATGAACTGGCTAAATTCAAGAAGGGCGAAATTCTTCATGGGTTTATAGTGGATGAAATTTCAAACATAGATGAGTTGTTCCTTACTGCAGTGAGGCTGACGCATTTGAGTACAGGTGCACAGTATCTTCATTTGGCCAGAGACGACACCAACAATGTCTTTTCCATTGGATTTCGTACGACTCCCATGGATTCTACGGGATTGCCTCACATACTGGAGCACACCACTCTGTGCGGCAGCGAGCGATATCCCTGTAGAGATCCATTTTTCAAAATGCTTAGGAGATCTCTGGCCACTTTCATGAACGCTATGACTGGGCCAGACTATACCATATATCCATTCTCGACGCAGAACTTGAAGGACTACCGCAATCTACAGTCAGTCTACTTGGACTCGGTCTTCAAACCGAATCTGCGAGAATTGGACTTCCGACAGGAAGGATGGAGATTGGAGCACGCAGACGTCAATGATAAGAACTCTCCCATCATATTCAAGGGGGTAGTCTTCAACGAGATGAAGGGTATCTTCAGCGACAATCAAGCCATTATGGCAGAATATTTGTTGAATTCTATTCTACCAAGCCACACGTATTCTGTAATTTCCGGTGGCGACCCCCTTGTTATACCTAATTTGCAATACACTGATCTCCTTAACTTCCACATGAAGTATTATCATCCCTCCAATTCACGCTTTTATTCCTACGGGAATTTTCCTCTGGAGGACCATTTGAAATTCGTCAACGATCGATACCTTTTCTTATCTGACAGAATGGACGTTTCCATGTCGGAAGTACCGGCGGAAAAACGGTGGAGCAAAGCTAAAAAGAAACATATTGCGTGCAAACTCGATCCATTGCTCGCAGATCCTAGCAGACATGGCACTATTGCCATCGCGCATTTATGCAACGACATAACTGATACACAGACCACTTTCGAGATGTACGTGTTGTCGCAGCTGTTGCTAAGAGGTCCGAATTCAGCGTTTTACAAATTTCTAGTCGAATCGAATATAAGTACCGGCTTCGGACCGTTCACGGGTTTTGATTCGCAGTGCAGAGACACGATGTTCGTCGTGAGTCTGCAGGGTGTAAAGCCGGAAGATTTCGAGAAAGTCGAGAATGTCTTCAACAAGACCGTGCAGAAAGTTATCGAGGGAGGATTCGAGAAGGATCACATCGAAGCTGTCTTGCACGGCATCGAACTCCAAGTGAAGCATCAAACGTCGAACTTTGGGTTGAATTTGCTCTTCAATCTGACATCATTGTGGAATCACAATGGCGACTTGGTACAGTCGTTGCGAATCAACGATGCGATGAAGAAACTCAGATTACGAATAAAAGAAAATCCTAAATACCTGCAAAGTCTAATCGAGATTTATCTCAGGGACAATAATCATAAATTAACGTTGACGATGTTGCCGGATGAAAATTATGAACAAAATAAAGTGCTCGCCGAACAAGAATTACTGAAGACGAAGTTAGAGGAACTTTCCGTAGAGGAAAAGGAACTGATATATGAAAACGGAAAGATCTTGCTTGCTGAGCAACAGAAAAAAGAGAACGTTGAAGTCTTACCGACGCTAAAGATAGAAGATCTGAAAGCTGACGTGGAGAGATATAAGACCACCAACTTGGAAATATCCGGAGTGCCTCTTCAGCTATCCATACAACCCACGAACGGGATTTCCTATTACCGAGGAATACTCAATACACAAACACTGCCGACCGAATTAAAGCAGTTGATACCGCTGTTTAATTACGTTATTGCGAAAATGGGCACGCAAAATTACGATTATAGAAGTTTCGATCAGATGATGCAGCTGAAGACTGGCGGTCTGAACTTCATAAATCATATCGCCGAGCACAAGGAGAGCGAATTGAAATACGAGGAAGGGATTCTCATTGAGTCGTATTGCTTGGATCGCAATTCAAATGATATGTGGAAACTGTGGACGGAGCTGTTCAACAATGTTAAACTCACCGACCTTCAGAGATTCGAGACACTCGTGAAGATGAACGCGACCGACTTGATCAACGGTATCTCGCATGCCGGTCACATATATGCGATGAGCAGCGCAGCTAGCTTAGTCTCCCCAATAGCTCGGATCAAGGAGAGTCTCTCGGGATTGCAGTACATCTCGAGGATGAAGAAAGTGGCGCAGATGGACGACATGACTTCTCTGATACACAACATGCATGAAATAGCTGCTCATGTCTTGAACAAGAAACATCTGCGGTCAGCCATTAACTTATCCGAGGAATACCAGGATGACATTCTTAATGATATTCGCGTATTTTACGATTCGTTGAAGGGTCGTTCAGAAAATCCATACATTATTACCAGTGACCGAAACATCGATATGAAAGAATGTGGTAATCATCACGTTCTGCCGTACGCAGTGAACTATTGCTCCAAGGCCATTTTGACCGTTCCTTATATGAATCCGGATTATGCAGCATTACGTGTGTTATCCAAGTTAATCACTTCGGTGTACCTGCATCCAGAGATTCGAGAGAAAGGCGGAGCTTACAGTGGAGGCGCAAAATTAACGACAGAAGGAATTTTCTCCTTTTATTCCTACAGAGATCCGAATTCCACTCGCACCTTTGATTTATTCGATAAAGCGTATGATTTTCTAATAAAATATCCATTATCCCAGACCGAAGTGAACGAAGCAAAATTGGGAGTTTTCCAACAAATCGACGCTCCCATTCCTCCCTGTAATCGAGGTATGATCAAATTCGTAAACGGCATTACAGACGATGATCTTCAAAGGCAAAGGGAGAAGCTAAAAGCTGTGACTAAGGAAGAGGTCTTGTACGTGGCAGAAAAATATCTAAAACCCGACCAAAATGGTATCAGAATCGGCCGTTCACTTATTGGACCTACAAATACGGATATTTTAAATAGGCACAAAGAAAACTGGTTAGTGCTACATCAAGAAGAAACAGATCAAGCACGAGCCACTGACTAATTAGATGTCAAAAATTATTTTTGTTACTTTCGTATAATGAAGAAGATTTTCTTCTTTCCTTTACGTTGAACCGCAGATGTGTCGATGCTGTTGTTAAGCGTTTCCTATGACATATAAATATTAACAATTGAGAAAATATGTTACTTAATAATAATTAAATTAATAATAATGTTAAGTATTATATAGTTTAAGCTATTTTTATATATTAAATATATCTCAGTTAAGGGATATAAAATAAATATTTTGCTCAATTTATTTCTCACCTTCGTTCATTCTTATATACAAATACAAATCAAATCATATATTTACTACCAGTAAAAAACATAATAAGCTTTCTTTTTTTTTAGTTAAATGATACATGGATATCGATGCTGAAAAGAAATATTTTGTCGAAGCACTACGCTTCTTTTACGAAACGCAATGGTTACATAATATACCAGTAACCGAAATATTAACTAAAACATCTTTAGATGCAGTTCCTAAAGAATGGCTAGAACAGTTACAAATTTTAGAAAATGAAGAACTTAATAATTTTGTAGTGGAAAAAATAATAAAGGTTAGCTAAGATAAATCTCACAAATATTCTGTAATAGAATATTAAAATTATTAAGTGAATTAATTATTGTTCTAGTCCGATTGGCCTGATTCCTTAAAAACATACGTTGCAAAATGTAAGAAAATTAATAGATTGCCATTCGTACCTGCATTACCTTCCATAGAACTACCGCAAAATTTTAAGATAGGTCTAAGTGAAAAGAAACAACATGAAATAATACATTTGGCTTATTTAGTGGATGTACAATGCAAGCAGCATGATATACGAACAATCATTGATTTGGGTGCGGGTTTGGTAAGAGAATATTAAAAAAAGATATGAATAATATATATCAAATTTTCATGCTACAATACAATATTCTTTCCAGGGATACGTATGCCAAATGTTACATTATTTGTATGGCTATCAAGTTCTAGGATTAGAAAGAGATAAAAAGAATATTAGCAAAGCTTTTACTAGACAGAAAAAACTGTATCCCGATTCTTTGACTAAAGTTAAATACATGCATTGCGACGTAACGTGTGATTCGGCCAATATAATAGAATCTATTCTGCAGCAAGAATTTCTTGACATTACAGACGTATGTTTAATCGGTCTGCATGCCTGTGGAGACCTCAGTACAAGCGCATCAAGAATCTTCTGCAAAATGAAATCTGCTAAACTTTTCATTCTGATTTCTTGTTGTTATCACAAACTTTCGATTTCCAAAAGTGTGCAGGAAAAACAATACTTTCAAAATTTTCCTACATCTAATTGTTTACGAGAAACAATCGCAGCGTATAATTTTGACGTAGGACAGTTCTTAAGAATACCCTTTTTGCGATTAGCGTGTCAAGAATCGGCAGACAAATGGCACGGAATGTCACAAGAGAAGCACAAGGAACATTCGTTTTACGTTCTTGCTAGAGCTGTCCTCGAATTATATTCACAACAAAGTAAGTATTTAATATCATATAACATATGTACATTCTGTGGATTAACGGAACATAAATTCTAGATAATTACGTTCTCAATAAGAAAGTTCGGAAAGGCACAAGAAAATCGCAATGTTCAAATTTTCAAACTTACGTCAAAGATTCGTTATTAAGATATGATTTAGTATCAGACACGGACAAAAAAGGTAATTGATAAATTAGTACTTATAAGATTAAATCACATAATAATATATAAATAATATGGAGCCTTCATGTATAAAGATAATGTAATTACACATGAAGAAATGGAGAAAGGCATAACGCGATTATGGGAAGAACAGAGTACAAAATTGAAAACTGTAGAAATCTATACTGGATTACAAATGATGTTACAACTTCCGGCAGAGTCATTTATTCTACAGGACCGATTATGCTGGTTGCACGAACAAGATTTGGAGGCTGTTATTGTGCCTGTGATGAACAAATGTATTTCTCCTCGGTCATACGCGATCGTGTCTAATAAATACTGAAAATTATTATAATAATAAATATTAATTAATAAATATTAAGTATAAAAAAAGAGTATACAATTTATACCACGTTTAAAAAACCGTAAGATTTTTAATTTATAATATGAAACTTGAAAATATATTTAAAACACTTTTTTATTATAATAAAAAATTATTCTTGACAATACACATATTGTATACTATTTTCATTATGCCTTGTACTAAAATATCATAGATTACAGGATTACATCAATAATCAAATTATATTAAAATTATTCTATAGGAAAATTAGAAAGTTAAAAACGTACCGTGTTTGAAATATTTATCATTGTATAATACATCTTAAATAACAGAGATGCTATAATATTCTTATCTATAAGGATGGATCTGTGATGCCGCTTTAATATTGGTTTTTATTGCACTTGGCGCCTTGTTCATTTGTCCCACTATAAAATATTAATTTAAATTATTATGAGCACATATAATTACGAGAAAAAAAAAAAAGGAAATTATCGGAGAAACACTTACTTGGTGGATTACCCAGTGGCCCTTGCCCTGTTGTTTGCTGCTGATTGCCAGGTCTGCCTACCATCATACTGTTAGCTACTGGATTTACGCCGGATTGAACCATTTGTATCGAATCAGACTATGAACATAAAATAAGCACGTATTACATCTGATAGATGTATTTTAACAATAATGTCCATACGATGGCTCTTTTAAAATTCAGATAAACTTTTTTCTTCTGATTGTAACTTACTTTCAAACCTTTACCCATCCCCACAGCAGCTAGAAGAGCATGAGTATCTGCAGCGCTACTAGTCTGCGCTTGTGTCGCTCTGGTGCTAACTTCACCCTCCCAATCTTCGCGCGCCTTATTCGCTATGTCCCACACATGACTAATCACCTTTGTATACTGCGCTAGTTGTTTCTGCAACCCAACAGAAGCATGCGAGGAACTTAATAAGCAGCAGCATCATGTTCCACTCGCTAAATGGACCATTTAAAAATCTCTGCATAGCGAACGTTTATCTGAGACATCAAACATCTATGGCTATTTATGTAGCTACAAAATAGGCTTGCATACATAACATCTCAGCCCAAAGCGAATGGAACCGACAAAGCTGAAGCTATCTGATTTAGCAGCTTACATTGTAGTCCTAGTTGTGGTTTAGTTAGCACGTTAACAGAAAAATAAAACATTTTCAGTTAGCTTCAATGTGTCTATCTTAATAGATATTATACATACTTAATTGTCATCAGATATATTCGTAAAAAGTTCTAGTTTTATCGCAATTATATATCTGATATTCGAATATTTCCAATGAATTTTACTTGACTTAAGGGAAAATTTGTTAAATCAAATAAGAAGTATTAAACGTTTTCAAAATTTTCTTACATTCAATTGTCTGCGAGAAACAATCGCGATGTATAATTTTAACGTAGGACAGTTTTTAAGAGTACCCTTTTTGCGTAGAGTATATAGAATTATTTCTTACATGTGACGTGTCGATGTTAACATTTGCGGCCTTGGCTTCTAATTGCATCATTTTTTGTTCGGCTTGGGGCTCCAACTTTGTTCTCAGATAATCTGGGACCAGATCATGTGCGAATGTAGGGATTCGATTCTCCGTGAGTCGTAGCAATTCCTCGTCCTTCTCCGGACTCAAGCGTAATGGTAAAACTGTTAGACCCCTAAGATTCAAGGCTTTGTCATGTCCAAGAACTTTTGAGAGGCTGGTCAGCTATATAAATGATATATTAAATGTAATTTGAAGATGTAGTGTATAGATTTAGCATACAAGATAGATGTCGTTTTATGATTAGAATTACAAAGCAGTCCTATAACTTATAACTTTTTATCAAATATCTAACAATCTGCAATATATAAATGATTGATCAATTTAGGAGATTATAAGATTTATGCAAAAATATTACTAAGACTAAAAAATCCTGCTTTTTTTAACCGCATGATCTTCTTCGCTTATTTGTATTAGTTTACTTTTCCTTTTTATCTTTTTGTCAAAAAGATATATATAGAGTATTGAGTCGTCCGGAAAGTTCGTGCCGACTAAAATTTAAATTTTAGTATACATTTATTAAATTAAAATTTTCTGCGTTTCAATTTTCCTTCAACATCGGCACGAACTTTCCGGACAACCCAATATTATATTTAAATAAAAATAGATATATATTAATACATTAATAGTTTTAGCGTTAATTAATTAAAGTAAAATAGGATACTTACATGACCCGAGATAAGAGCAAAATTGTCTAGGAAATTCGGCCAATTTAAAGTTTCGTATTCATGTTCCACTTTGAATATCATTGCAGAAATCGCGTTCTTTAGATCGTTCACTCGCATTATTATGGCTTCTAAGGCCGAGTCTTGTTGTTTTTCCTCTCTTTGCATAGTGCAATTTCTATTATTAAATGCAATTGATATGTGAATTCCAATCTATTCTTTTGTTCGTCGCCACAAAATCACGCAAAACGTGGAAGTGTATCTCATTCATCTAACTCACGCTCATCGATTTTACCTCACACCTTATACAGTTCACACCTCACTTGGTTTCATGTTTCCACTCTCTCCTTCTTTCAGGCTCGAGCTTCGGTCTTCGATTTGATCGGTGTCTAGATATATACAATATGTCCAATCATTCCAATACATCTCAAACCTAACCTATGCTGGGTTTAGATACCCACTTTAAATGCCAGATATCACTCCATCGTTGTTGTACCGAACGTTAAATAAGGATGACATGATACGGTAGGAATGAACATGCCCCTACATACACTAAACTAGGGAATTTGAAAAATAAAGTCTGTTTTTATGACTGACCTTGTATACTTTTTAAAAAACAAAATAGGTATGTTTAACATTTAACTAAAAAGAAAGGAATAAAAAATCAAGACCTATTTTTGAACGCAAAAAAAATATCGCGAGACTAGCGTGATTTAATGTGACAATGCAAGGGATTTGTTTTTTATACAATTGAGCGGTTAACTTCTCGTCTCTTCTCTTTCTCTCTACAACATTTAATTATATATCTATTTTTAAGTGCATAAGTGTAATGCATCATCTACAATATACAGAATAAGTTGATGCAAGAAGTAAGAACAAGAAGTTGATGCAAGAAGTAAGAACAAGAAGTTGACCAATCACAGCCGAATAGGAAAGAAATAATCAACTGTGATCGGTCAATTTTTGACTTAAGTACTTCTCATAGATCTTATACAAAGCTTACTCCACAGACGCATGGCAAAATGCAACTACGAAAAATAAAGAGCTTGTCACCGTGGATCAGCTGTTCGCCGCGTATACATGATCGCTTGGGATTACTTGCAAGAATTATTAATCATTGTTTAATTGCAACTCATTTTCGCACAGGACGACATCGATGCACAACGTAATGAAGTCTTTCCGCGAAGCCCTCGCAAACGCCAGCAACATTCTGATCCTCACCGGCAGTGGGATCTCTGCCGAATCTGGCATACCGACTTTCCGGGGTGTTGGTGGTTTTTGGCGTAAATACCAGGCGCAGAGTCTCGCGACGCCGGAGGCTTTTACGGCAAATCCTTCACTAGTCTGGGAATTCTATGAATATCGTAGACAGTTAGCGAGCAAAGTCAAACCAAATAAGGTAATTCGAAGAAAATGTTAGAAAAACAAATATCAATATTACAAAAGCTTTCCTTTCATCATAATATTCTTGTCTATTTTTAATGAATTTTAATGAGTCTGGAAAACAAGTAAAACGTATTATTCTTGTCCTTTCTTTTTAATTCTCTCTAGGCACACGAAGCTGTGGCAGATTTCCAGAAGCGCAAGATAGCGGAAGGTAAAAGGGTGTCGATCGTCACGCAAAACATAGATGATCTGCATCAAAAAGCTGGGGCGACAGAGGTACTGGAATTACATGGTTCACTTTATAGAACACGCTGCACCAAATGCCGCAACGTTGCTGTTAACGAGAACATTCCCATCTGCCCAGCACTAGCAGGAAAAGGGTACGTATAAATTCTGTAATATAATTACAAATAATGTAAGACAAAACCATCTTCTCGTCGATTTGACGATAATGTATGTAAGCAGATCTCCTGATCCGAACATTATGTCTTCTGATATTCCAATAGAAGAATTACCACATTGCGAAATCAAAGATTGTGGAGCGTTACTGCGACCTGACATTATATGGTTCGGAGAACAGTTAGATGCAAACGTGCTGGAGAAAGCCTGTGCGTAATTTTATTTAACAAAAACATAATTGTACATAAATATGATAAAGTAAAATTCTACTCATATAAAATATCATATAAACGAAAGAAAGCGGAGTCTTTGATTAAAAACATCGCGATAATGTGTGTGTAAAGTATATATATATATATCAATACAAAAAAAACTAAAATATGTTTATCATTCACAATTTTTTTAAATTGCAGATGACATTGTGGAAACGTGTGACGCTTGCCTGGTTATTGGAACCTCTGCAATCGTATATCCAGCCGCTATGTTTGCACCGCAAGTCGCGCAACGTAATGTACCAGTTGCAGAGTTCAATATAGAGGAAACACCAGCCACAAAACAATTGCAGTGAGTATAGAAATTCCTTTGTCAATAAAAAATGTCTTTTATAACTTAAAAATTTAAGAAAGTTCTCTAAAATAATTAGTCTCTATAGTTTAAAGATAAAAAATGTATAGATCTATCTAAATAGATAGATCATAATAACTTGATAATATAAAATATAATGCCTTTATCTTTTTCATGCATGCATAAAATATAAAATATCTGTATAATCATTTATGGCAAATTATATCACAGCTTCCTCATGCTTTCGTTTATGCCCTCGAGAATAACTCGTATTTGACTGTAACAAGAAAAAGAATATGTTACCTTGCATTCATTACATCTGTTTTTTTTGTTTTTTTATTCCTGTATACTAGATTTATACTAGATTTCTTTCTTTCTCGTTTTCGCCAAATATCAAACATATATCTATTTCAGTCTAAGTTCCAAATATGTACATTAATTTAGTTACAGAAAACAGATCTATCATATTAAATCATGAATCAATAATTTTTTTTTTTTAATAAATTATTTTACAGATATCACTTCCAAGGTCCCTGTTCTATCACTGTGACAGAAGCACTGGCGCCTTAAAAGAGTATATATAATAAAATAATTGAGCTTTTATAATATAAAAAATGATTACCTCACAATAGCATACTTCTGTATTCAATCCAATTCTATTTAAGTAATTCAACCATAATGTTTGTTTGGTTGATAGCGTATCATTCGGACCTTTCACTTCTATAATTTTGTACTAAAAAATATATTAGGTTATAATTTTATGGAATTTACGTTTTCAAATTAGAATAGAAGGTATTATTAAGACCTATTTTATATGAGCTTCTTAAAATTGTACATAGAAAAAAAAGAATGATTTACCTGTTTTGTATTTATATTCCACACAATTATATCTGGAAAACCAGCTTTCCAGAGTGAAAAGTTGTGAATAAGTCGTTCGCATATTCCAACCACACCTTTTACGCCTAAGCAAAACGCTATTTCCTGAAAAACAAGTGTGATATTTATGTTTTATTAAAATTTAGTTAGCTGATAATATTTATTACTTACTTTGAAGCTGTTACTGTCGTCAAAAATATTGCTCTGAGAAATAGACTTGTACTTAGAATATGATTCAAATTCATTCTGCAAATGTTTGCTCATTTTTTCCGAATCATAACTTCGAATATTTTGAAGTTTTTCGTCTATTTCTTTTTTTCTATTTTCGTAAAATTCCGACGTATACAAATCTAATGGTGCATCCTGATACGACGATACCCACGTGCCAGGAACGTTTATGTTATATATTTCGTTCCAAAATAATATAGCGAACAGAGTGATTGGAAAGGCACCTTCACAGTGCACACCTTTGATATACCCCTCATTTTTGTAGTGATATAAAGCCAGACTTTCGACCGAACCGTATACTTGATCTATTCCCCTGCTGATACACCAAGTGCTTTTTCCCTGTAAAGTATTCCTGGCAAGATATATAAGATACATATCTTAATCTCTATTTAGTTTAGTTAAAATTTCATTTATATCTTACCCGCATACTGTTCCTTCTATCGTCTTAGAATTCTGATGTGTAAGTTGTATTCTGCTAAATACAGTGTTCAACATAATTTTAACAGAGTTTTTTGTTTTTTCTTCGATACCGGATTTTCTTTTATAAATTTTTTTTGCTCTATCCAACAGATTGAATTCATCAACTTCTGTCAGGTTCTCACATAACATTGCTTTTGATAAGAACATGAAACTAGCTTCAAAATTTTTTCTATGAAACATTTCTATCTTAATCAATTCACTGTACCATTGGCCTTTTCTATGTTTCATATGACAATTCTGTTCTATTAATATTAACAAAAATTTTATCGCCTGTGACAGCGTTTCCTTGGATTTTTTAAATGCGTCGATGCTTTTCGACAAGACTTTGAGCCATATGTAACCTGGCATAAAGTGTCTAATGTGATGAGGTAGACTAGAATCTTGAAAACTGTAAATGGATGCAGTATAAAATAAATTTATTTTACAATGACCTCATTTTAAATAAATATATTCCATCAATTACATTTTTCTTACCTTTCCGATTCTACTTCTAAGAAGAGTGGTAAACGTTGCGCAGCTAAAGTTCCAAGATTTTGTACGGTATTCCATTGTTTTTTCTCAATTGCAGTTAATATATTAGTTAATGCATTTTTAGCTTCAATATAACTGTAAGATATATATATATATATATATAAGATTAAAATAAGATTAAAAAGTAATAAAAGTAATGAATCATAAAGGTAATAAATTTACTCTAGCAAATGTCTTTTGCTGATGAAAATAGGCAGGTCACTTATAATTACTTCTGGAAACTCTAGTTCATCCGCCTCAACGTTCCATAACATTTGAAATACATCCGCAAACGTCTCATCAGGATTTCGATTAGGTATCAGCAACGTAATTATTCTATCAGCCAATTCTTTTACTTTGTCATTCAATAATATGCAATCCCCCAAAACCTTGTTGATTGATGCGCGTAGTTTAGTGGCAGGAGTCGCCATTCCGGGAAACAATGATTTCGTTTTGCAGAATGCCAAAATTGATTCTATACTCAACCTTTTTCCACGAACATTGATCTTTAATTCCCGACAAATCTTGCTAACTTCATCGGCGTGCAGCAAGTTTAGTAAAATGAATATGTCTTCTTTATCCATATTATTTTTAAATATAGATCGTGATACAAGCTCATCAAAAATGGGCTTCAAATCATTGGATATCTCATCGTATTTAATATTACTTATCCTATGCCACATATGCTTCCTTTTCAACATACGTATCAATAACGCTTGTGCATTTCTTCGAAGAGTAATCATCGAAAATATGAAATCCAGTTCGTCCTGATCGAAATATCCACAATTAATTGGCTTAGAGAATACAGTAACAATAGCTAGGAAGAAAAGTAGCGAATTCTTATCCGTAGGTACAACTACATCGTTAATTTCGTATTTTGTCGAAATTGTAGTGTCTATGGGATTGTATTTGTAGTCAAATCTCTTACTCGAGTAAACCTTTTCCAGATCAATGTCATTATTACCAATAGCTCCTTCTTTGGCTAAATTTAAATTACTTATCGTTGCAGATGTCAATTCTTCAATTCTATCGTTGAACAATTTTTTTCGCGCTATTATTGGAGATGATGATTTGTTTTTTATTGGAGACGATGTTTTTGGTGTAAACTTTGTACCACTGCATGATGCAGTACATTGTTGACTTCCAACATATATTATATCAGGAGAAAAATGTTCAGTAGTTGGCAACATTATCTTATTTTCTATAATATTAGTTGAACTATTTTCAATTCTATCTTTGAATAATTTAATTGGACTGTACTTAGCTTTATCCATGAATAGTTTCCTTCGTGGTATCTTTGCGGGTGGTGATTTGTCTCGCGCGTTTTTTGTTGGAAATGTCTTGGGAGTGGATGTGGACTTTATACCACTGTGTGATATAGTATGTTGTTGACTTCCAACATATATTATATCAGGAGAATTATGTTCAATAGTTGATGACATTATTGTCATTTCTGTAATTTTAATTGGACTGTTATTCATATTAGTTTTGAAAGGAGATGCCCCATTGCCGAACGAGACATTACTATACATTCCATTTTGTTTTATTTTATATGGGCTTTGCTTCTTACGTACAGGAGTTCTTGAATTGCCTGATACTTGTCTATCTTTCTAAGAAAAAAATAAAATTCAATATATTATTAATTCCAAAAAATTGTTATCATGTTCATTAGACAATTAATGACAATTATAACTTACCGTCCTTCCAATAATTGGACTTCTAGATCTCGCATTAGATGACTTTTTGATGTTTCTTTTTACACTTTCAGATTTCTTGTTACTGCTTGTAACTTTATAATACTGATCTATTCTGGTTTGTGCCATCATTAGAGGAAATTCAGCTTAAAATCAAATCATCTCTATAGCCTGCTGATAAACTAGTGTAAATTACACTATTTATGTTATGCTGATGCCTCAATGGAATAAACAAGAGACCCAAGTGCAGACACGACTGCAAGCACAGTTCTCGGACACCTGAAGGAACGAACGGAGGGTCACTCTGCATTAACCATTTGCTCTCAATCCTTTTTTATTTCGTTCGTACATTATCCTATCCTTAAAAGTAGAACTTAATTTAAACCATAGCGTATCGATCAAGGAAATTACAGTATTTACACAGTCCATACAAATCACCGGCGAATACAAGTGTGTCGTTTGTCTAAGCTATACAGATCCAGAATGTGGATCGTGACGCGACAAAATCTAAGTATCGACGGCGTTTTAATACTCTGTCCCTTGCAACTCTTCCCATAAGTTTAAAATCTACTGAAGGACGTCCGGGGGTATGTAAAGCCTAGCGAAACGGTGAGTTTCATCATCCTCGCCTTACCTTAAAGATAAAGATCCAGAAGTCGCGCGTACGCCGTAGGAAAGACTAAAGGGATTGCGAATCTGCGAGACGCGTCTCGATGTCAAAAACACCTGTATCAATCACCAACTCGGCGAGCGGGTATGTACAGATATATGTCACACTGCCGTATCGGATCCGTCAACTAAGGTTAGATTCGCTCTTCCGCGCAGACGCGCGTATCTTGCTTGGCGGGAAATGAGGGCGGTAAAATGTAATTTCCCGGTGGGAAAAACCCAGCGATTGTAAAGACTCGGCACTTTCGCGATGATTACATCATCCAATAGACATAAAGTTACAACAAATTTGGTCACTTGGATTACTTTTGGAGAGTGCATATTAAAGTATCTGAATGCAGCGACAAAATAATCAACTTTGACAACAAATATAATAATGTTAAGTATATTATTCTGTTGAATGACAATATAATTGTTCGATATTTAATAAAAATATTTATGCTTTTACATTTGTAAAATATGAATATTTTAAA